CCCAGAGTCTCAGATGATCTGTTCTGCATACAGATTGAAAAGGTATGGAGACAGAATACATCCCTGACGGACCCCCTTCTTGATTTTGAACCATGTAGTGTCTCCTTGCTCTGTTCTGACAACTGCCTCTTAGTCCAAGTATAGGTTTCCCATTAGCACAATCAAATGTTCTGGGATTTCCGTTCTTCTCAGAGTCAGCCACAGCTTGTTGTGATCTCACAGTCAAAAGCCTTTGCATAGTCAATGAAGCACAGAGAGACATTCTTCTGGTAGTCTTTGCTTTCTGCCAAGATCCATCTAACATTAGCTAGAATATCCATAGTACCACGACCTCTTCTATATCCAGCCTGTACATCTGTTGACATATTGTTCCAAATGATTTTGAATAATTTTCAGCTGAGTAAGATATTTTATATTTAAAACATTTTTAAAAATTGTTGAAGTGCAGCAATGAATGAATGGAAATCCAAAATCTCTGTAAATGTTCATTGAAATTATTAAAATTTAAAAAAAATTTCTGATAGACGTATTCATCAACTTAATTACAAGGGAAAGGTGCAAAATCATTCCTATTTCCTTCCTTTTTCTTATGGTCCTCTCTTCATTTTTCTCTGTACCTCCTTCCTGTTTTAATCCAAAAACAATCTCCCTGTTAGCCTGCTTCCATTCCATTGGCAGGCACGTCATGCTCATGACTAGGAAGTGTCCTCTTTCGAGGTAAGTCAGACTGCCAAGAGAACAAGCTAACTATGTCCTGGAAAAAGTGCAACCAGGGCACTCCTGAGAGGGGAGGATAACAAAGCTGCACCTCACACGCTTGGCACATGTTGTTAGGAGGGGCTAGTCTTTGGAGAAGGACATCGTGCCGGGAAAGGTGGAGAGTCATCAAAAGAGAGGGGACCTTCAACAAGGTGAATTGACACAGTGACTGCAGCAGTGAGTCCAAGTGTGTCAGAGATGATCTGGCACAGGGTAGGGCAAAGTTCAGATCCATTGTTCAAAGTGTTGTGAGGAGTCGTGCTCACCTCGACACACCTAACAACAGCAGATCATTATCATGTGCCCAGTCCCCATGATGGCATTTAAATCTTTCCTGCAGTTCCTCTGCTGCCATCTGTCACTTTTGTTCTTTTGCTACACCTCAGTTAACACCATGTGCCACTTCCAGGTACAGAATTTGCAAGGAGTACTCGAGGCTGTCAGAGAAGGCTAGGCTTCCTGCAAGTGCCTGGCACACAAGAGCTAACCAGGTGTTGATGTTTGACAGAGAAAGCAGAAGGTGTGGGTCAGGGATGACATGACTCTGCCCTCCCGTCGTCCTGCAGAACCTCATACCCAGCTCTCAGAGAAACAGCTCTGTTATGTGAACGTAATCATACAACTGACAATACAGATATGTGATCCGTTTTGTAAAATAGTCAGAATCCTCAGCAAATTTATTGTTCAGAAGTCACTTTGGGTCTTGATCATTTAGCCAACTCCATTCACTGAGTGAAATTGATCTCCTCTGAGCAGTATTTGTTCGGTTCATGACATTTCTTTTTTATCCAACAAACTCAGTTCTTAATGTATTATTCTTTATCAGTGAAATGAGTAGATGGAAATTCTTCCTGTTTTTTTATATATGCAAACCCAAGCTGTCTTCAGAAGCTAATAGACATCGAATGGATTGGAGATGCCATTTCTGAAGAAGGGGAAAGTCTTTAGGCTTAGTTGGGATATAAAGACATCAAATGTGCTAAGCGCAGCGAGTGGACACCTCTCATATTCCTTGTTTTTCTCTCCATGGTACTAGGCTAGAGCCTCCATTCTCTGCCTTGGTACCAAAGTCTTGCTTGATAACAGAAACCCCTGTTGGCAAGTTCCTGCTTTCAGCCTCCGAATTCCAGGTTCCTGTTTTTGATGAGCTGGATGGGGTGACAGCAGTGTGCCCTCGACCACAGAGCAGCTCTTCAGAACAAAAAGAGGTAACTACACAATGCTTGTGGAGTAATGTGACAGTGGCACTGGTGATGTCCGTGATAGCCCTTCAGTATCTTAGATGCTGGCTTTAGTGTCAGCTGAGTACTGGTGATTGCCAAGCAAGGAGAATTTCTACTTGGCCATGAAAGGATACGTTGGCTTTCATTTATGTTGTGTTTGACATTTTTTTCCCCTTGAAGAGCGCTTTTAATGATGTGCAAAGAATTAAACCATAGAGCTGTTTCATGCATCATTTGCTGAGTGATTATGTCTTTCAGTTTTATAACATCGGCTCTTTTAATAGTTGTAGATTTTCATATTGATAACTTCAGTATCGGAACTGAGTGGACAATTCTGTTTTAAATATTTAAAGGAAACGAACAAACAGATATGTCTTGGAAGTGCAGCCCGAGTGTTCCTTGGAGGCAAGGATGACAAAGCTTGATCTGTCATACTTTGGGCATTTTGCTAGGAGAGGCTATTCTTTGGAGTGGGATAATCATACTTGGAAAAGTGGAGGAGCAAGAGAGAAAGACCTTCCAACGAGATGGATTGACATAGTGACAGAAACAGTGGGCTTCAAGCATATCAGATGATGAGGGTGTCACAAAATAGGTCAGGGTTCAGGTCTATTGTTTATAGGGTCCCTATCAGTCATACTTAACTGCATGTAACACAGCAGTTTCTGAAAACACTGTAGGCCAGAGACTGGGGAGCATTACCATATTCTACATAATGTGTTAAGTGGTACCTTCAGTGTTAAAAAAAAAAAGAGAGAGAGATTGTGCATATTTAAAATTTCTTATAACTTGGAAATCCTCCTTCTTAACCCTCAAAAATAGGCAGAGCCAGAGAAGAGGCCAAAGAAAGTGTCACAGATTCGCATCCGGAAAACTATTCCTAAGCCAGACCCTAACCTTACCCCCATGGGCCTCCCTCGACCTAAAAGGTGAGCTCCTTTTCAAATACAACCTAATTTTGCTTTTACGGAAAATACTATGGCCAAATGTTTAAGGACCATATTTTAAGACCCATGCATTCAAAAGGACTATATGGCCAGTGACTTATGTATAAGGATAATGCTTTTTCAATTTTTATTGCACTCATTGTGCTCCAGGTATTGTGCAAACTCTTTGCATACATAATCTCAGCTCATCCTCCAGCAACATTGTAAGGTAAGTTCAGTTGTCATCCTCATCAGTAGGCAAGGACGATGAAGCTCAGTGGTAAAGAAACCTGTGGTAGATCAGAGGTCCACTTGTAGCACACTTTTCTGGTCAAGCACAGATTTTACCTAACTCCGGTACCTAAATTCCAAATATTCTCCAGTTAGATCTAGAAAGGATCCAGAAGCCAGATCCACATTATATAGTGTATTTTATCCCCATTAAAAATTCCATTTTCATTTTTTTAATGATAAGGAATTGCCAACACTTACAGAATTAGTGAAGATTACAAAGTAAAATAGAAAGAAAAAACTGATTACCAGACTATGTGGAATCATTCCAATTTTTCAGTTATATACCCCTTGTACAGATTCCCTATATAAAAACATAAACTTTTTTAAAAACATGTTTTTATACCTTAATTACTCATTCGCAGATGAAGCCTTATGTAACCCTGAGCAAGCATAATCTTTTTGATGCTCAGAAGCTTATGTTAATAAAAACTTACCAAAATTTAAGATTACTTGACATTCCAGTTGATAAAAAATAGAAATAGATCTTTATTTCAGTATTTTCTACATAATATGGTAAAATACAGAGCAATTGCAATGCATCAGTAAAAAAGAGTAAATTTAAAAATACGTATTTATATATGGATCTTTAATAATGCAATAACTATTTAATGATGATGATGGTGACTAATGTTCCACTTTCTCCATAAGAAAAAAAAAGGGAAAAGAACAAACCAGATATATCTTGGAGAAGGTGCAGCCTAGTGCTCCTTCTGTTATCTTGATATAATGTATTTGTTTCTGTAATTAACATTTATGTTTTAACATTATAATTATTAGTGTTGGAGAATGGAAAGAGTAATCTCATTCAGATCTGTCAACTTTTTAAAAAGTTATGTGCTAACAAAAAAGTCACAGAATGGCCTATCATCTGATTCAATTTAAGGATTTATTTAATTTTTGTGAAAGCAAAACACTTGGAGAGCATTTGACTTGGAGAGCTTACTTTCACCCAAGCATTGATGACAGTCATGATGGCTGTATCTGAGACATGTCCAAAAAGTTGTACCAAAAAATGCCAACTGCCTATGAATATGTATGTTCCTCTTTCACTTAGAGGTACCATATGGAATTTTATATAGTATAAGAGGTTGGAAAAAAAGCAAGAATCTCAACACATTTTTTGTCTGTATTTTTTGGCAAATACTTTATCATCTTAAATACAGAGTTAAAGGTTTTAGTACATTACATTTATGACAAATACTTGCCATAAGCTTTTCTGGGTAAGGCTGTATTTATCCAGCCCCTCTGCCAAATCATTCTTAACTTTATTTTTAATAACCATTTTTTAATGTGATTTGATTGAAGATTTACAAAGCACATTAATTTTTCCACCATTTGTACACATTTTGTTCTGTAAGTTTCAGTTGTCACAGTGTAATCACATTTACCTCATTTCCAGTCTTTAACTTTGATTTCCACTAATCCTATTATACCTCTCTGTGTCTTTCCTTACTGTAATGATATTGCACTAATAATTTTTTTCCTTTTTGTTTCTTGTCTTTCCCTGCATCCATATTAATGTGTCTATTATTTGGCTACTAATTTTTATTCTTTCTCCTTCTCCATCCTCAGTAACCATCTAATGATGATTCTTTTTATGTATGTACCCTTCTTTAGCCTTTTATAATAGTGGTCATATACAGTCGTTGTCATTTTGTCATTGACTTATTTGACTCAGCATATCATCCTCTAGATGAATTGTTGCAATGTTTTCTTGAATTCTTTTGTTATTCAGTGTTACATAGTAGTCCATTATGTGAATGTACCATAGTTTTCATTATTAACTCATCAGTTGATGGTCACATGGGTGGTTTCCATCTCTGGTGGTGTTATAATTCTGCATGAACATGGGAGTGCATATATCTGTTTGTGTTGCAAAACTCTTAGCTTCTTTAGGATATATATGTAGTGGTGGGATTGCTAAATCAAAGGGTATTTCTATTTCCAACCTCGTAAGGAATCACCTAACAGCTTTCCGTAGTGGTTGCACCATTTTATATCCCTATGAGCAGTGTGTGGGAGTTCCAGTCTCTCTACACCCTAGCAAGCATGTGCTGTTAACTGTCTTACTGAATTTTGTTATTGTTACTGAGTGAGATGATGATGTCTTACTGTTGTTTTGATTTTGCATTTCTCTGATAGCTAATGATTATGTGAACTAATTTTGTGGCTGATTTTATAATTATGAGCTAATGATTTCCTTATGTGTTTGTTGACCACTTGAATGTCTTCTTTGGTAAAGTGTCCTTCCATATCTTCTGCCCATTTTATAATTGAATTGTCTTTTTTCCTGTTGAAATGCCAGAGTTTCCTGTACATTTTAGAATTAAGTCCCTTCTCAAATATGTCATTGCCAAGTGTGTTCTCCCAGTCTGTGGTCGTGGTGGTACATACTATCAAATTGTCTGCAACTCATCACGACCCTATGCACAATAGTTCTCAACCAGTCTCACCTTCTCTGACACACCTGCATACCCCTGTTATCCCAATCACTGTGTCAACTCATTTCATCCAGGGTCTTCCTCTCTTCTGCTATCCTCCGTCCTTCTCAGTCTGTAGGATCTCTTTTTACTCTTAGAAAAGTCTTTTGATGCATGTACAAAGATTTCATTTTCAGGTGACCTCATTTATCCTCTCCTAATTGTACACATTCAGTTGTGTTTACTAGATTGTTTATTCCATAGATTAAAACTCCTAAGTTTGCATCTGGTTTTTTTTTTCTTTGATGATCTTTGTAGTTTTAGGTTTTATGTCTAGATCCTTGATATCATCTTGCATTAGTGTGTGTATATGGTGTGAGGTATGGATCTTGTTTCCATTTTCTGCAAATAGTTACCCAGTTTCCTTAAAGAGGCAGTCTTATTCCCCCATTTCATATTTTGTCTCTCAGTCCTAAACCAGCTGCTCTAGGTGGGTGGATTTTATGTTTGAGTTCTCACTTGTATTCTGTTATCTGTGCATCTCTTGCTGTAGTAGTGCCAGGCTGCTTCGATTTCCATGACCATATAGTAGGTTTTGAGATCAGGAAGTGAGAGTCCCCCTGCTTTGCTTTGCTTTGCTTCTTCAGCAGAGCTTAGTTTATGGGGATCTCTTTTCTTTTCATGTAAATTTGGTCTTTACTTTTCCCACTCTCTTTGAAGAATGATAATGGGATCATTCTTTCTTTCTGAGAGAGGAAAAGAAAAATCTATTTTCAAAAGTTTATTTTCCATTTCAAACTAATGTCTTAATTTTCATTTTAAAGACAGATTTTACATACAAAGCATTAATAAGTTAGGAACACATCTTCCCCACCCCAAAAGTGACATCCTTGCTCTTTTGCACTTTATTTTTTCTTTAATGTATTTTTATTTTATATTGGTTATCAAATGGAATTTGGAGCACATCTTTTTAAGGTACATTTCTAAGACCTAAAGTGTTAAAAATGTGTAAGTAATACATATTTCATTTGTATAATTAATGAATTAAGTCAACGTAATGCTAGTCTTAAAGTAATATAAATCATGGCTAAAATGATAAATTGAAGAGTGTGATAACATTATTTCAGTAAGTGTGTATACATACATAAAGTAACTGTTAATATGATTTAAGAAGTAAGTAAGAGGCATGTGGAAAAATCAGAAATAAATTCATTCATTTACTTAAAATAGCATGATTGCTGTTATATTTAATGTGGCAGAAAAATATGGCTACAGATCACCTGGTATGGCTGCTCAACAAAATTTTTGTTACTCTTTTTTTCGTTTGTTTTGGGTTTTTTAAAAAACTTTTTAAATTTTTGTTATTGTTAACAAGAAGAAATTATAATGTTTTATAAGATGTAAATCTATAGTAATTGACTTAAAAATTTCATTATGAGCTGATAAGAGTGTACACCTTAACCAAAGAAGTCATTTTAACTTTTATCTGTAGACTAGAAACACTTTTATCTTGAAATACTTGACGGTCCCAGTAAATATTTCAATTACATTTTTTAAAAGATCAGCTATTGAATTCTGCTTTTTTCTTCTTCTTCTTCTTCTTATTCTTGATTTCTCAGTGAGAATTTAAGAACAACCTGGGGGGAAGGAAATTTTGCATTCAACTAGGAATTTTTAGCACTTGAAGCTTCCCCCCCCCTTTTTTTCTTTTTTGTATAGTATCTTTGTCCTTTTATGGTATAGGGCACGAACAAGAAAACGTCACTCTTTCAATCCCATTGCACAAAACTGCTATAATTAGAAAACCAAATACCAATTGCTTCATTTCTTCAAAAGCCACACATCTCAGCGTGACTCTATGTCAGATGGGCAGTAAGTCCTAGATAGGGTTAATCACCAACAGATTGCTTGGAAAGAGTAGTGATGTAATGCCTTACCAAAGTAGAATTCAGCGTGGATAGTCCTTTATATCTGTATGGTTATTCCTTCATATCCATATGAAGAGCTGTTCCAGTAGAATATGTGGTAATGGAAAAACCTATATGAGCATTCAGACCACTACTTAGACATACCACTTTTTGAAAATTAGTTGATTTCCTTGAAACTATTCTTTGGGAAGTTTTCTTAATGCATCATGTAAAGGTGAAGGTCAAGGGTATTCAGTAGTAACCTTAATAGGGCTTTAGTATATTGACCTGCTAACAAAAAAGACTGTGTGTCTCCAGCAGATATAGTATACCAGTGACTTTGAGAGAGGAAGATGGACCCCAAGATGAAGGGCTCTAGGAG